CACTATGAGTTGCAGGTGACTCGACGTCACATAACAACAACAACACAACCTCACCAAGTGAGGAGTGTGTGAATAAATGTACATAGGTCATCTTGCCCCAGACTCATAGAACACTTCCCAGTATATCCTAATCTTGCTAACCTCAGTCCTAGACAGACATATGTAATCCAGCCTTTAAATATAATTTGTCCTTTTTACTCTCACATACTTTGGCCAAGTTGTTAGAAGCGAGTATTATAGGACCTCATGCTTGGGAAAGTATAGGGACAGCAAAGTAGAATACCCTCAACTGCATGGATTGATGCAGTGACTGCAGCAGTGGACTCAAGTGTGTCAGAGATAATGAAGATGGCACAGGATAGGACAGGGTTCAGAGCTCTAGTTCATAGGGTTGCTGTGAGTCATTCTCAACAGCACCTAATACCAAATATCCCCTTACTTCTGTTTTCTTCCCACCTCACCCCATCCCAACAACTGTACTTTCTGCTTGTTGCAGTAGAAAACCATTTTGTGACTGTAACATGGATTTAGCTGCACTATTTCTTGAACCCTGTCCTCTGGAGTGTAATAATAAATGGGTATTATTGTTTAACATAGTTACAATGCTGTAACAGAATTATGCACCCTTTCATTCTCATTTTAATAGCACAGTTATTAGTCTTGTTTCTAATTCTTGGACTTTAAAGGAGTTCTGTTGTGTTTATTTTTACCACAAATTCAGTCCATTTTGCCTGCCAGGTTATTACAGAAAAAAAAACACAAACAAAAAACCTGTGAACTTTAATAAGCCAGAGAGGCTAACATCTGCCTATGTAAAACCCTAAGACATTGCTGTCTTAGTGTTGATGAAATTACCCGTGTGCCAATATGGATTTGGTGGAGGTTTGTTTGGGGTGGAATTCTGTCTTAAGATTTTGCTTAAGCAATATTATTTTACTCTTCAATTTTCATAATTATTTTCCTGTGTATCACTGAACGTCTACAAATGTCCGCCTCTGATCTTCTGATCCAATAGTTAAGATTGCTGTCTTTTGAAAGTGGTTACTGTGATTGAGCAGCGGAAATTGATTTTCATCCTTTGGCATTCCCCATGTGTCTTACACGCAGATCTGTGTGTGCAGAGGGAGTTGCCTTCTAGCCTCGGTGTGAGCACTGACCACCTTCTTAGTCTGTGATGACCCCCTGCTGCAGCTGTTTGGACCCAGCCAAGCAGCCTCTCTGTCCTGGACCTGAGTCCTGGGCCAGGCTGTTGCCTGTAAGGTGGCCTGTTGTTTGAGTTGCACTAGGGTAACTGGAACCAACAATTACTGGCACTACTGAATGTTATGTATGGTGGTTTTGAGCTGTTTTTTCCCCACCGTTCTTTGGCAAACTGATGTATCATACACCTCATTTGCCATCAGAGTATGAGAATGTATAGTTCTCTTTTCTTTCCCCAAGAAAACAACACAGAACAAAGCCTCACTTTTAAAAATGCCATGATATTTTGCCACTGTTCTGAGAATCTGTCAGTGCCATATCTAATCTTCTGGTGCATAGAATATCAAAATAAGCACTATTGAAGGGGCTGTGTTGCTGATATAGAAATGTCAGTTTCATAGTCTCAGAACCGGCTACTCTCAGCCTCTTTCCAAATGAGAAAGAAAAAAAAATTCTAATAAAGTCTCTTTCCTCTTCTGCTGTTACTGTTCTCCAGGCCTGACCTTCACAGGAAAACCCAGAGAAAGCACAGCCTTGCTGAAATCTTACGTTCGGAATACTCAAGTGGGATGGAAGCTGGCGTCACCAAGGTTAAAAAGCACAGCAAATCGGGAAATCTCAGCAGCGCACCACAGTAGAGCTGACCCTCAGCCTTAGCCAGCCTCTGTCGTGAGGCGGGGAGAACCTTCTCTGTGAAATGTTGGAAGTACTTACAAAAAGGCTCACTGAGCCGAGGCGTAGCAGAAAGTTCTCTCCACTCTGTTTCTTCAGGACTGGGCTTCAGAGTGTCTCCCAGAGACCAGGGTGGCACTAACTTATTCTTGTCAAAAGAGCTTTGAGAAAAACAACTGCAGTGTCTTTTACAATACATGTAGACCTTGTCTAGTCTCTAGGCCATTGTAGAAGTCACAGCCCTTATCTTTGTTGATTGTGATCCTAATAGAAATCATTAGGGTTGGGTAGTGTGGAGGTATGAATTAGCCAGTTAACTATTATACTCTCTATTTATGCCATCAATGCCAGGCACTTACTACCCAGGTGTGGGCTTGCCATAGATCAAATGGTTCCCTCACGACATAGATAAAAATGAATGCATTCTACTGTAGCCTGTAAGGAATTTTATCCTTGCTCTGTAGAAGTGTCTCAAAGAAGCTCAAGATTTTACATTAGTGCTATTGGTTGACATTAATGTTCTAAAATAAGGTTTTAAAAATTAAGAGTGAATTTGTATGAAAAGAGAAAAATATTTCTAAAATCATCATTTCTTTTATGTACACGTTTTCTTAAGAAAAGAGCCAAAAGAAATGTTTATTTGCATCAAAAATCTTAAAATGCTGTCATGTGAGCCTTCTTATTACCTGTAAGCAGTTGTTATAGACATGGTGCTCCTTTTCCATGCATTGCTCCCTCTTTTATGCCCATTGAAAATGTATTCTCTCGGGGCTAATTGATTTACTGTTGCCTTTTTATTATTTGCCTTTGAAGTCAAAATGCACCAACCAGTGCCCTGTGGTGTGTTTTTTTCTTTTTCTCCTCCCATGAATCTCATCTTCTGGAAAGGTCTGGGGGTCTTTGTAATGTGACCCAGGTCACAACTGCACTCCTCCCTATTGTGTTTCCTGGGAGGTTTGAAAGAGGACCCCTGGGGCATATTGATTTCCCAATAAATGTAAGATTTGGACACGGGTGACTCATAGCCAAAAGCGAAGGGGTTAAAAAGCTTCAGCTCCTTTGCCTGGGACTGGATCTCCGTTCTTTCTCTTCTCATTGTCATTCTTTCTGTCCTCAGTTTTCCTCCTTCCTCCTCTGTCACCTTTTGCATTCCTGTGGCGTCACATCAGGAGAAACTTCAGGTCCAGTTGCACCAAAGAAACATGAGGGCATTTTTCCTTGTGACCCGCATATCCTTGCCTCACCTCCCTCTCTGGCCACAGCAACACAGACTCAGGCAGACTCAGAACAGTTGTCAGGTAGAAAACACATCAGGAAGAATTCTGGGTGAGAGTGGCCATAAGCCTGCTAAGAATTGATCTTCTGCATGAGGTAAAATATGGCCTCCTTAGAGTTGGCTGTCACATATGAATTAATAGGGACAGTTGGTGAAATTTGTAACAATAATAAAATAAAAACAACCCTGTAGCACATGTCAAGCTGACTTTGGGCAAATCTGCCAGCTTTCTTTTATTTTGATATGTAATGGTTCACATGATTTGGATGAGAAAAGGAGGGATCAAACTTATAGACAAAACCCAACTGCGTGGGAAACCGGATTAATGCCAGTGATTTGGGATGATCAAAGGGAAGAACCTGCATTTATTTTTCCTCCAGCGTTCTCATTCCATTAAAGAATATATGGGCAGAGTTCCATATTCTTGGGAAGAGAAATGCTAGCAAAGTGTGTGACTGTAATTCCAAGATCAAAACTTACACTTAATTTGCACTTAGGTGAGACTTTCTTGCCATAGATGCTATGTGGGCCTCTTTCTTTTCTAAGTAAAATCAATAGACTAACCTAACTAATAAAGAAACATGGATTTAGCAGATTTAGGGTTAATATTATCTAAATTTAAATAACCTTAATATAAATCTCTCCCTTAGCTATAGCTCTTGACAGATTGTACATTTCAGGCATCAATTAGGTAAAGCTTAAGCCTAATTCCATTGTACATATTCTAATTTTATGTCTGTTTTTAATCATGCCTGTTTTTTCTAATTTCTCAAACCTAACTATTTCTCTGTGTCATATACTTTATTCCATATTTTAAATCACAGGTAATTTGTTCATTTAGTGGTACATTGCAGCTTAAAGCGTTTTCTCCCAGTATGCAGGGACAATGCCTTTTCATAATCTAAAACATCTTCATGTTTGCAACCCTCCATGGTTTCACATCTCAGAAGGGCCCCTCATTCACATACACTAAGGGGCAAAGAAGCTTTGGGGAGGGAGACGCCTGTGTGTGATCAGCTAAGCCAGGACTGCAGTGCAAGCTGGAGAGTGGCCGTGATCCCAAGGACCATGCAGAATAGGCCAAAGTTTCCATCTGTTCATAGGGTCAACTCAACAGCACCTAACAATAACTGCCCATGGCATTTCCCGCTTCAGAAGATGAGCCACCAGATCCTGGCAAAGGACAGTTGTTTACAAAGCTGCAATGGATTTCTTTGATTCCCCTTTTCCCCCACCCCAGAGTGAAAGGGGTGAAATTTGAGGAATAAAAGAGAGGATAAATAAGAATCTCTTAAGGCAAGTGTATCCCACACTGCTAGTGTCTTCACTATTTAGCACTTAAGCCACTCACCATAAAATCATAAGACTGCATTATAATCGAACAGTCCTACCCTAGACAGAAGCAAATTACATTCCAGTCATTGCCCTGCCTGAAACTCTAAAAATTGTGTAAAAAGGTGAGGGAGAGGGGGGCAAGGGAGAGCTCTGTTAGAAATTTGCACTATAGTAATTTGCACTGCTAAGACAAAGGCTGTGAGTCCTAAGTTCGAATCCACCAGCAACTTCACTGCAGAAAGATGGGCAATTTCTTCCTCATTTATAATCTCCGAAACCCTGTGAAAGTTGATAGGAGTCAGAACTGACTCCATGAGGTTTTTTAGTGAGTTTGAAAGGTACACTTAACCTAACTGGTCCTGTTAAATTGCCTCTAAGACCATTACCCCTTATCTCTAATCTCCTCCATTATAGGCCCAACCAGCCAGCCACCAGTGTGGGCACTCTGGAAGTCAGCTCAGAAACAGTTGGCTGCTGAAGTGTGAAAGGGGAGCTAAACTTTTTTTAAACTTTGTTGTTCCTACCCTGAGGCAGAGAAGATGACTCTGTAAGACTCTCTTATTCTGCCTACTTGTGGGTCCTTTTTTTTTTTTTTTTTAAATGAGAGGACACCCAGCCTCAGGGTTGGGGACAGAAGCCAATTTAGCCTTATAAATGGATGAAAATGAAAGCCCACCTCACTGCAAAGGTGGTAAAGTTATTATTACAGGCAAGAACCGCAGGACAATTTAAAATATTGTAATTATAAACTTGTAGGAGAGCCTTGTTCTTCATTAATGTAAGATATGAAATCGCCTCTGAGGTACAAGGACAATTACATAGTTGAGAATGTGTCTGTGATTTACACTGCTGCTGTGTAAATGTAAGGAAGGTTGCTCTCGTCTACCTCCTCCACTTTCACAAAATGAAAAGCACACCAGTGCAAGTTGTCCTTTGATAGATTTTTAATATGATTTTAAAGAGTTTTGTTTGGTCTCATTCTTATTCAATGAGATTAATTTAAAGCACTTATCCCCTGGGTTTAAGTCAATCCATGTAGGATTTGGACAGGGGTTGTTGCCTAGGGGTTTTGTTTGCAGGAGGCTATGAGAGACTCCTTTCCCACTTCATTAACCCTGAGTTGGGGACAATCCCCCTTCGCCCCCCACCACAGCCAGAGCTTGGGATTTACCAACCCCCATTCACATGCAAAAGAACTCAGAAGCGAGGGCCTCCTTGACTTCATTAGCTGCTGTGCATTTTGCAAAATCAGAATAATACCCTCACCATCCCAGGAAAGCAAAGCGGGGGGTGGGGTGGGGGTGGGGAGTGTAGGCACTAGCCTGCAGGTCCAGAATCTGTTTTGTGGCGGGGTTAGAGTCTAAATGTGGCCCGCATCCTGGAAAGGCGTCGGAACAGAAATCCAAGTGGACCCAAACTTCCAACCACTGTATTTCTTTAATCTTTGGGGGATAGTGGGCTGCAGGTGTTGTCTAGGAGGGGGACACCGTCCCTTCTTCTCAAAGAGGGACTGGCCTCAGAAGGTGACCATGCGCTTCCTGTGTAATTTGGAATCCTCTAATCTGACCTGAGACTAAAATTCACCCATTTCCCTGACAACCCTGGAACCACAGGGTGTGCAGAAGGAGACGCAGCTCTGGGTCTCGTTCCCATCTTGTTCCCGAGGTAGGGGAAGAACTGAGCTGCCCAGTGTGGCAACCAAACCGCGAGGAGGCCCACCAGGCGCGGGAGGCCTGGGGACCACGAGCATCCAGACCCTCGGCCCCTGTGCGGCCGGAACGCGGGCGGGGGGCGCGAGCGGCCTCGGTACCCATCTGTCAGCCCCGCGTCGTCGCCGGCCGGTCACCAGATGCCGGCACCCTTGTCGCAGCCAGATGAGCCGACGCTGCTGCGGCCCAGGGACCCCGCGCGCTGGCTCCCGGGCCCCCACCACCCCCAGGCCCGCGGAGAGGACGCTGGGCGCGCACGAAAACTGAGGTTGGGGAGGGAAGGCTCTGCCCAAGACGGCGTGTGGACTTTCAGGGGCCCCTCCACACGACCCCAGCCCCAAAGAGAAAGGACCAACTACTTCACTACTGAGGGCGGAAGCAAAGTTCACGGACGTTTTTTAAATGGGTGGAGGAAGAAGAGGGCGGCGCGCAGACCGACCCACGCGAGCGCCGACTGGCGCCTGGGCATTTGTAAGAAGTTTATTTCGACATTTAAAAAAGAGAAAGAACCCGAGGGGCCTGTGCGGCCTGAGGCGGGGCCGGGGGCGGTGGGAGGCAGTTCCTCGGCCCTTCCTGCCCCGCCGGGAGGGGAGGGCACAGGCCACAGACACTGACGCACGGACACGGCACGGGCTCAGGGTCACGAATAAATAACTTCATATACACTTTGCACACAGTATGTACAGCTCAGCCGGGCTGGACGCAGCGCGAAGGGAGCGATCTCCCCTTCCTCTCTCCGTGGCAGGAGCGCAGGGAGAGGGGCGCGGGGACCGCAGGCCTGGAGAAGTCTCCCCACGCCCTCGCACGTGAAGGGCGCCCCGGGAACCCGCGGGGGAGAGGGGCAGAGTCGCTTATGTACATCCGGCGGGCGGAAGGGACTCCCTGCTAGAGCGGCCGGAAACCGAGAAGGGGAGACTCTGGGCCTCTGTGGACTTGGCATCTGGCCCTCGGGAGGGACACTAGGCTGAGACACCGACGAGAGCCGAACAGGACACCCTCCCACCCCACCCCGAGAAGAAAAGCTGAAACCCAGCGCCCTCCCAGGGGCGGGGGAAGGGGTAG